TTTACTGCAACCAGTAGAAACTGAAGGTGCATGTAGGTAGAAATGATCTAGATGGAGAGAAAAGTTACTTTTTATCTTTTTCATTTTCAGGTTGTTCTAGGTGTTGTTAAGATTGCTAGCAGCAAAGTAGAGAGTGTCGAAGAGATTCGCAGCCGTCTAAAGCAAGTACTGACTGTTTTACCAGCAGAACGATTGGTTGTTGCTCCAGACTGTGGTTTGGGATTTCTTCCAACTGATCTGGCAAAGCAGAAACTTTTTAATATGGTACAAGCGGCAAAGTCTTTACCCTAAAATTTACATAGTGTTGTGTGGAAAATCACAGAAGACATAGCTAGAGAGAGAGCACGTTTAGTGTTTTAAAGTTCACTTTTCTCTGCCTGTCTTTTTAGCCAACCAAAGTAGCTATTTTTGCAGAGTTTCCTGAAAAGTGTGGCAAGAAATGGGATTACCTAGATATTGTGTAGGTCCTACTGAACAAAGCCATTTGGCCTGAAATCTATATTATACACCTTTCTTTAAGCTTCAATTTTCTGTCTGTCTTTTCCTGATTCCTTAATTGAAGGTCCCATTAATCTCTTCGTGGTCCTTTTTATGGTGTATGTTAAATATAGGCTTCTTTACAAATTTTGAAATTTTTATTGATAGCAGTGCCAAGATAAGGGAACACGAACAAAGGGAACGGAACAAGCAAGTCCGATAATTTTTTTTGATGACACTAAGTGTCCTGTGAGCCTTTGTGTAGGATATATCAAAAGTAATTCATATAGGTCAGTATATTTCTCTACGTTACTAAATAGCAGTCCAGGCCGTTGTTCTGTTATTTAATTCGAAATATTTGAATTGCCAGTTTCTCACCAGACACGATTGTTGGCGGGTGACCTATATTTATCTTTCTATTAAATTGTATTACAGGACAAATAATGAATTTTATGGTTGTCTGCTTATCAGTTGGTGGTATACAGAAAAAGACCTTAAAAAAATCGAAAAGAAAAACTTGTGAGATTATAGAACACAATACAGTATGAGCCAAAAAATATAAAATTAAAGGAAGTAAATTTTGTAATTGTATCACTATAACAGAATAAAGACAGTTTATATTCTTTTGTGGAATAGTAATTTCTCTGAGTTCACGACGCCGACGCCGAAGAAGCTGTCGGCGATCTTCGAGTTGTTCGTCTTGAGATCGGAAAAGGTCATTTAAATGACCAATCCTCTCCTAATTGTTATTTGTTTGAGTGGCCAGTTTGGCACGTTGAACGAGCTACGAACCTCAGGAAATTTCATGATCCTTTTTGGCCATTTTGCGTGAATCAGAAAATGCTAACTCAGCTAAAAACTACCAATGCAACTTCATTTGGAACTACACTTACACAAACAGTATGAAGTTAGTTGCTCTCTTAGAGACGTTGTCACAGACCGGGTCAAGACGCCTTCTTTTTAACGAGTGATTGAGTTAGGTAAGGTAAAATGCACAATATTCGTGGTTTGTAAGTTTCGGTGAAAAATATGTACATTAAATTGCAGTTTTCATTCTGTGCGCCAGGAACCGACCCAACTCAGTTAGTAAGCATCTTATCATATGACCACCAAGTGTTGAAATTTTCGATACACAAACTTACGGCAGACAACCGCCAAAAAAGATTCTACCATAAAAACTTCTTCACCACTTGACATATGGCCATTGCCTTTGGCCTAATAACAACACCTAAATTGAATTAGTAAGGCTCAATTTACACTTATAAATATAAAATTCAGCTTTGAGTATCACATGAAGTAAGATAATGAAATTGTCTTCCAATCAGAGAACACAAATAGAGTCACCTTTTCTTACAAAGGGAAGAAATGCTTCCCGTGACATTTTCACGACTGGCACCCAATTTGCGGCACTTAAACCCGAACCCTTTGAAATAAGATTCCCGATTGTCTTCTGTGCAGCTAGTGACTGAGAGAGGCACCGACTATTCGTGGAAAGATCCTCTTATTAAGTCGTACTTCAAAACGACAACGACCACTAAAGCGGGTCTCTACTGCCGGTCAAAATGACTCATCGCCGACTGCTCAGTTTACGCGAAAACGAAGAATATCTTGTTTTACTCAGCAAAATGTTTGTTAACTTGCTCATGGCTGGCCCTCAGCTTGAGCACAAATAAAAATGGTATTCACCATGTAAATGTCCATTACCAAAATTTCAAAACACCACAGAAGAGGTTGGCAGTCACTGGTTTGACTCTCAAACCAATATTAACAGTACATCAATTAGGGTGAGCTTATTTAAGTCGCATTCTCATTCTTTGAAAAATGGCGATAAATCAGTTCTGCAACCTATCTAAGATGACGAGGTTCCTGTGGAGAGACACTGTTACCTTGTAAGGCATTATCAAATTTATGTTAGCTTCCAGAAAACCGAGCCATCATCACTGCGACAGCTTTTTCAGCGGAAGAGAGAGAAAAAAATCCTTTGAGTTATCTCTTTCCGCCGCTTTCGCTCTCTTTTGCTCAATATTGCTTGTCGTGTGCTAAATTTTTTCAACTCAAAATTTTGAAAGAAGTCGCAACAATCCTAACTTATTCACCAACAGTTTACAGAAGAAAATGGCGGTCAAAATGGTGGCAAATAACCGATAGAGCCCGATTTAACCTGATGCTTGAGTGAAGGTTACAAGGGGACATTCATCAGAGCGAGCAAGAGGGGTGGATATTTTTAAACTTTTAAGTATTTTGGTTTTATCAAATACGGATGTAATTGAGTGCGTGGAAACACCCAATGTTTGCCATATCATTCATGTTTTAATATGAGCCGACGCCGTCATAGAACCTGTTATGTTCTTTATGAACGGAAATTCAATTCATAAACATTATATTTCGATGGAGAGTTAAAGGAAGTTGCCATTCCATATTTGGAATTATACAGAACTGAACCGTGGGAGAATATGATCCGCCAGCAGCCGGCTTTGGTATTGTTTTTTATTTCGTGATATTGTGGGCTCTCAAGTGCACAAGTATGAATCAAACTTCTTGGGTAGGTGTTAATTAGACGCAAAAAGATGTTTTTAGAACTTTCATATTTGTTGTTCCTATTGAATTTCTTTGTGTCAAATTTCAAAGAGAACCCTGTAGAAAATCATGTGAGAGAACGTATGGCTTGCTTCTTGAGACGCCTAACCCCATTCCAGACTAAGATAATTTAATTTCCGTATCCTGCTCTCTCATTTAAGCCATGAAT